GCCGTTCCCGTCGACAAGAAATTTCATGAGCAACTGCCGTTCCGCCTTCGTTGCCGTTGCCGTCATCTTGATTTTCCGCGCACTTAACGAGGCAGGAAGCACGCGATTGTTTGGGCTTGAGTCACCATGAAGAGAAATTCTCTGCACTTTTTTTAAATTTTACATGCATTTATTTTTAGAAATTATAGTATAAATAATTTATAAACAAAAGAACCGGGTCAGAGGCGAACCACCCTCGTAAATGTTCATTTGATTGTCAAATGGGAGCAGGACCTTCCTGGATGCTAATTCCATAATTGCGGATGGAAGGTACTTAATGCACTAATGATGAGAAAAAGGTTATTATCATTAGAATTTTCAACGGTCGATATTAGAACCTTCAGTCAATATTGGATTTTCAAACGGTCAATATTGGATATTCGAACGACCAATATTGGGATTTTAAAACGGTCAATATTGGAATTTTAAAGCGACCAATATTGGGATTTTCGAACTTTCAACATTGGAATTTTCAACGACCAATTTTGGAACTTTTAGTCGACCACTATTGGAATTTTCAATCGATCGATATTGGAATTTTCAATCGATCGATATTGGAATATTCTAACGGTCAATATTAGAATTTTTCAAACGGTCAATATTCATAATAGCCCAGTTCTCCGCCGCTCGGGCATTATAATATCGGTATATATACATAATATATAATATTAGAAGGAAGAAAAAAAAACGGGGAAGGGAAATAACAGTCGCTCGGGTGATGCTGCATTTTCTACGCGGCGACGATTATCGTCATACGCGGCGACGATTATCCTCATACGCGGCGACGATTATCCTCGGTCTTCCCAGCCCGACAAAAGCCTGGGAACGAGTTCTCACAATGGGAAACGAGGGGATATCTGCGGGCATGTGTTGCATGATTCTGCAGTTTGTCTTTTATGATTCTCCCGTTTTGCCTTTTATGATTCTGCAAGTTTGGCTTTTATGATTCTGCAGTTTCTGATTTTGCGATTTTTTTTTTGTTCCCATGTCGATCGTGAGAAAAAATTTTTATTATTATAAATCTTTTGATAAATGTCGATAATGGGAGATGTCGTACCAAGGCCCTGATTAAGGGTCGGATGATCCGCGATTAACCAAATCCGATAATAACAGGCCTTCTGACAGGCCTTCGGAAAAGCCTCCCCGTTCCCCGAAACGAGCGATCGCGTGCGGATTGACCGATTGAGCGCAGATTGACCGTTGCACCCTCGGCCGATAAACCGCGGTGAACGATGCCATCATCTCATCACCATCATCATCAATTGACGTCAATGAGAGATTAAATGACTGGCGCTTCCTTTGATTTTTTCCAACCTCAGATTGCCATTATTCCCATCGATAACCTCTTGATATTAATAATAAATACTTAAATTTCACTGATAAAGTCGCGGTAATTGCCGTTTCAGAACAAAAAGCCAATTTTTTAAATAAAATAATAAAATGACAGTTAAAAGAAATTCTACAAATACATTGATAAAACCACGTAAAATTAGCAATTAAAATGATGAACTGAGAGTAAAATATAATTGACAAATAAATGACCTAACGTGATAATGAAATGCAGATGAGTAAAAAAAAAATCAGAAGAATTACCACGAAATCGCAGAAAAATTCAGCGAGAACTTCCCACCCGCGCGATCGTTCAGCACTTAATTGCGGAGCCGCGGCGATCGTTCAGCACTTAATTACGGAGCCGCGGCGATCGTCAGAACTCGATCATCGTTGAGTTTGATGACGATCCAGTCGGGTTCTCATCAAGTCGGGTTCGCACCATTACCGTAATGGTGCGAAACATCGGAACCGGCTGCGTGGCGGCCGGTCGCCTCGAGGAATGCCGGTACCTGCGAGGTACTGGAGGTGCTCAAGTACTGACGGTACTTGCGGTCGACAAAAGTGCTGGCAGAAATCGATATGCTGGAGTGATTTGAATGGATCAGGTACCCGTGCAGTACTTACGTACTGAATACCCGGTACCTGCAGTACTGAATGCTCAGTACTTTAAGTACTTGAGAGTACTCCGTTAAAAGGTTCACCCGAAAAGGAAAAATCACATGTTTGGTTGAAAAAGCTTGACTTCGCGGCGCGGTACCGGTGAAGTACTGCAGAGGGGGAGAAGTACTGAGAAGTACTGAAGAACGACCGAATTAGTTTCGAATCGTCGAAGATTTCTCAAAGAACCGAACCGGGACTATGAAGCACTTTCCAGTACCTGTCGCCGTGAGTTCCACCTTAAAATGCGTCAATTTCGGGCAATTTGACAAATTGACCGAAATTAGCCTGAAATGATCGAAATTGACAATTTGAGCGAAATTGACCCAAAATGGTCGGAAATTGTCAATTTCGATCAATTCAGGTCAAAATTGTTTAAAATTGGGTTATTTGTTCCATAATGTCATTTTCAGTACGGCAGTACTTTCCCTCGACTGCGGGCGCGCCAGGTGGCGGAGTTCAATCGAAGTCCAATCGAAGTTCAATCGAAGTCCAATCGAAGGCCTTTTCCTTTTCCTTTCTTTCAAGCTTCTTTCGTCATTTGTGACGTCATTTGCGACTAAAAATTTAAAGGCTGATTCTGGATTTTTTTTTTGCTGCTTGCGGGCAGTTTCTCAAATTTCAAGAGCAGGTACTTTCGATCATAAGTACTTCCAGTACTTGGTACTGTAAGCCCGCGAGGAACTTTCTTTCGGCGCGTCCGATTTCTTCGAAAAATTAATGGTTGCGAAAATTGCGCATGCCACTTTCCCTTTAAATATGCACCTTGCCGATCCGTGCGACAGCATTCGCACATTCTGCATAAAAATTGCAGAATGGCAATAATTGCATTAATGGTCATATATGCATACCGTTAGACTGACAATTTTTTCCCGCAGAATTTTGGAACCTGGAGGTGACCCCCCGATGCATTTTTTCCCACTTCCGCATTGTTGGAGGCGGTTCGCGGACGCACTCGCGACATCTAACGGATGACCGGGCAGCGCGCAGGTACCGGAAAGGCGGACGAGATGTCGTCCCGGTCGATCCTCCCCCTGCGGCGACAAATCGGGATCGCCGACGAAACGAAATGCCAACGGGAGACGCGAGCCACGTCGCGCCGGGGAAATTCGCGTTCTGACGAGATGAATAATGCGTCCAGAAAATAAAGGGGTGCGCTGCATTCCAAGGGGTCACTGTAAAGGTCGCTGTAAAGGTCACTGCAAAGGTCACCGCCCAAAGGTCAACCCTAATGCGACCGTCATGTAATTACGGAGGTGCCCCATTCGTTTCTGGGGCAAAGCGCGGATCCGCCCCGCGAAAAGGAATTTCGCGAATGCCTCCCGGTGGCGAGAAACCTCCATCCGACTCTGAAGCGATCGCGGAAATTTCTGAGAAGTAAAAAAAAAAAAAGGCAGAGAACGAATGCTTTTATTTCACACATCAGAGGAAGCGACATCAATGAAACATGCCAAACTTCATGATTTTCACTGACAACCCTGATTTTCACTGACAACCCTGATTTTCACCTGGCGAACTTTCTGTGCAAATTCGGGCAGAGTTAACTTGAAGGAGTGTCTCCTATGCATGTTTATGATACGTAAAAGTCTCAAAAAATATATTCAACGAAAATATCGAAAATAATTCTTGTGCATGGCAGTTAAAGCGACTCGGCATCCCTTGCAAAGCACAGGAAGACACTATGTACAATACCTGCGGGAAGACGTTCCTCGGAACTCATTTTCCGGGTCGCGAGTCCGCGGACGAAGACGCGACGACGAAAACCGATTCGACGGATAAAGTGTGTGGAATGAATGACAGCGGCAGAGATGAGAATTTACTCGCGAGACGGACGGACAGGCTCGAAGGACAGGCTCGACGGACAGGCTCGACGGACAGGCTCGACACAAGACGGCAGGCGCACACGAACCGACAGGCGACAGTGTCGATCGACCCAAGAAGCAAGCGGAAACGGAGAAACACAAGCGTTCAAATTCTGAAAGTGTGGATGGCAATGGTAATGGCCCACTTCGAGCCGACCGAGAGTGGATGGCAATGGTAATGGCCCACTTCGAGCCGACCGAGAGCGAACGACAACGGGACAGGACTCGCTCTGAGCCAAGTGGATGACAAGAAAAAGGTATCAGACGGACATTCGACACTGCAACGAGTCATCAACACCGACGCCGCATCCAAACCCGAACCCCCCTAGTGCTTGCCCCCCCCCTTCTTGAAGCGACGGACCTCCTCCTGCTCCGCCTCGGTCGTGACCCCGGCGTGCTGCATCATCAGCTTGCTCCCGGCCGTCACGCCCCAGTTCTCCGGCTCCGACATGGACGCGCTGAAGGGGCGACCTGTCGCCGGCTTCAGGTTCTCCCAGAACTCCCGGTTAGCCCTAAAAGAGAGGAAGTTGTAGGTAACCCAGCAGCTTTTCTTTCCCCTCTGGTAAAGCATCCGTGTTCACAATGGTTCAATTAAATATATGACTAATATGTATAAGATAATATTAATAAATATATAAATAAATTCCCTTTTCCTGCATGTCTCCATTCTCCGATGACTTCCTCCACACTAGTAATATACTCCTCACCATCCTGTTTTTATTTTTCTGGGTGGCGCTGAACTCTTGTCAGAAATGAGCTCAATTTTATGATCATTAAAGGTATAATTACCAATAAGTTGCGAAATAAAGGATATAAAAATGTAATCCAATGAGAACTAGACCTGATGTGACGGCTACCTGGATCTCCACAAGGACCTAAAAGAGACTGACCCTACGTAAAGAATGTGTGCGCAAAGTATGTGAAAGTGTGCGCGCAGAAGAGCGGACGCAGGTGTGTGCGCACCAGTACGCACAGAGGTGTGCGCGCACGACAAAACGCATAGAGATATGTCGGCGCGACTGCATGCATAGAGGTGTGTGCCCACTAGCGTACGCATAGAGGTGTGTGCGCAGAAGTGTTCGCCAGCTCACCTCGCGCGCACCCACGGCTTGGTGTGCAGCGCCAGCCCCTCCCCCCACGGCGCGTGCTTCTCGGACGACAGCGGCGTCTTCCCCCTCTCCTTCGCCAGCTCCTCGGCCACCGCGCGGAGGTGGTGGTGCTGCGTCCCGCAGCAGCCGCCGATGTAGCGCACGCCTAGGTCGTAGGCCTGGCGGGCGAACTTGTGGAAGTCCCAGCGGGTGCAGAGGCGGGGCTCCAGTGCTAAGAGAAGTAAATTATGCTGGGGTAATGGAGTAATTATGCTAATTACTCCAAAGAAATTATTTTAACTTGGAAGCAAGCTCAGAGACCATCCAAAGCATCTCCAGAAATTTCTGATCGCTCAGAGGGAAGAAAATCATGGGGAAACCTTGGACGATCGAGAGAAAAACTACAAAACAAACTACTGATTTATATATATATATATATATATAATTAAAAGTAAATAAATAACGGGGGTGATAAATGCATTTAGAAGCAATTTCTCGCTCCTCACCGAAGGGGAACTCGAGCAGGTCGATGAACCCCTGCGGCCCCGCGTCCGGCGTGTGGTACCCCAGCGGCTGGCACATGAGAAACGGCTTCAGCCCCGCCTTCTCCAGCCCGGCCTTCATCAGCTTGATCGTCTCCAGGCTGACGAAAGGGTCGAAGTGGCAGTTCACGCCGACTGGGGAATAATTATGAATGTAGCCGTTTAAATGTGGGAAGACTGTGGAGCGCTTGTACGTGAAAATTCCAATCCAACAAAATAATTTCAATTTCAATCTCAATTTGTTCAAATTTAAATGGAATTTAATTTTTTAAAGTAATATCTCGCAAGCTCATAAATATTTATTTTTTCCCAGAAAATCAAAGAAACCTTCCCAATTAATCGCTCAAATCTCACTACTCATTTTGCTGTTAATTTAATCGAGAAACAGTTATTTTAATAACTTTAGCGAAATTACGACGAATTTAGTTAATACTTACCGATATCCGCCCCGGCCTTGGCCATCCGGACGGCGCACTCCCCGGCCGGGACGCCGTGCATGTCGCCCTTCGGCCCGATGCACATGGTCGACGCCACCGGCTTCCCCGTCTCCTTGCACACCTCTATCGCCCATTCCACCTCCTCCACGTACTCGAAGTACTGCGGGAGAACAATCACAGAAACCACGTGTTATTGAAAATCATATTTTTCATACTTATTTTTTTTTTTAAACATTTTAGGAATAAAATGTAAAAATTTTAAATTAAAAAATAAGTTTTTCCAAGTTTTTATTGGAAATGCACTGAAAATTGGCATATATTTTAAATTGCCCTGTTATAAAATTCTCTGTTGAAAATTGCCATATTTTAAGTTGTCTACTATTGCAGTGTTCCTTAAATTGCCCTGATTTCTGCAAACCTACAATATTTTATTCCATAGTTATTTTTTTTAAAGATCATTTAGACACATTTCCTTCCAGACCCCAGGCGTGTTTTTCTCCAAAATGCTTAATAATTCAAGCCTTAACTTAAGCAACAGTTTCCACACAATTGAAACTTAACTTTCTCCATTCGCTAAATATTCATCGAAAATTTTTTAAATTTAGGTTCATCATAAAATAATTTAATATTAATAAAAAGTAATTTAATATTAATAAAAAGTAATTTAATATTAATAAAAAGTAATTTAATAATAATAAAAAGTAATTTAATATTAATAAAAAGTAATTTAATATTAATAAAAAGTAATTTAATATTAATAAAAAGTAATTTAATATTAATAAAAAGTAATTTAATATTTTAAATATGAAGAAAGAGATGGCCGGACCTCGCAGAGCAGGAAGTCCATCCCGTGGTCCACGAAGACTTGGATCTGCTTCCGGAACTCGGCCTGCACGGCCGCCTTCCCCCCGCCGGACAGGTAGGTCGGGGTCTCGCTGATCCCGCCGAGCACGAGGGCGTCGCCCTCCGCGGCGACCTCCTTCGCGATCTTGCACGCCGCCGCGTTCACGGCGGCGCCCTGAAATTCAATCATTAATATATTTTCCCTCCGATTAAAATCAACGAGCAAAATATTTATGCACAGGCATGCAGAATTTTTTTGGCATGTAGAATTATTTGGCATGCATACTTTTGCGGAATCATTTATTTTTGGCAACACCATTTATTTTATTTTGTCATCGATAGTATTTTTCATTGCTATTAAATTGTTTTCTCGGCAGGAAAATGCATCCCCTTGAGCTTTTTTTTTTGGCACGCATGCATTTTTTGCGCGACCGGAACGAGAAATTTGCACAGGCACTCACTGTGAACTTCTTCCCCGCCACGTTGCCCCGGTTGATGAGCTTGTCGTCGGAGGCGTAGAACGTGAGCGCCTGCATCACGTCCGAGCCGGCGCGCAGATACTCCCGGTGCAGTTCGCGAACTGCAAAAAAAAATTATGAAAAATAAATAACAATAACAATAAATATCGTAAGGACTGCCAGATCGGGAAACTCGAGGGTTTCACCAACGTCAAAAACCTTCAGATATGACCTTCGAATGTGTCACACCTCAGAAAACCTAATAAAAAATTTATAATAAAATATAAAAAACGGTAATCTCATATTAGTCATTATTTATAAATCACCAGCCTCTGAACTGAGAAGTTCTCAGTGCTTAACTTGCGCTTAATTCTCTTTATAGTTTATAAATTACGAATTTTAATATTTAAAAAGTTTTCTAAGCCTCTGTCAACCAACAATGGATCTGGCTAATTAATTAAAATTACTGAAAAAATGCAATGATAAATTATCTTTCTGTCCTTTGTGTTTACGGTCCGCCGTCCTCGCTGACCTTGACCTTCAGTGGGAGCCTTTTCATCCGAGCGATTCATCGACCAAACTCGTTTTAAAGATGAGTAAAAATAAAAAATAAAAAAAAAATTGTCTGGAGGGGAAGGTTGCCCTTGGGAGGGATGCCATCGGAGGGATGCCATCGGAGTGCTGCCATTGGAGGACTGTCAGCGCTCGGTGCATACCGGCGTCGGGGTGCTCCAGGGTGACCTCGGGTGTCCAGGGCCCCGCCATCACGTAGCCCCGCTTCTCCAGCTCGAAGACGAAGCCGCCGTCGCCGATCACGACGCCCTCGGCCAGTCGCTCCAGGATTCCCTGCAAGTCGGCATTTTTATGCTTTTAATTTTTATAAATTAAAATCATAAAATGTTGAAATTACTCCGACTGGGATGTTAAATTCCCGAGAGGGGAGAAAATGTGGGACTCACTTTTTTGGGTCCCATTCTCGATGCCGCAGAGAAAAAAAGTCACTGAAAGTGAAAGTGAAAATGCCGGTCTGTCAAGAAAATGCCTCCGAAATAAAATATTTATTTTTATGCCTCGTAATACGTAAAACAATGAAGCCTACGGATCTGAGAAATTAAAGCAAAATCATGTTAATTAATTAAAATAATAATGTAATAATTGTATCTGATAGGTAGAAAGTGGCTCACCCGCCTCGAAGGAACTTCACGAGAGGAAAATTTAATTGGAACTGAATGGACGGCGGCCGAGGATGCCGGCTTATAAAGATAGAGGCGAGGGGCGGCTGCCTGGCAACAGGTCCAGTTCCTCGCCATAGGCCGGTCCCGGGGGGCTTGGCGTGGCTCACCCGGCGTGTTATGAAGTCGTCCTATGGAGGACGACGGCGGTCGAAATCGTTGGATGTTGAAGCAGCTCTTGCGGTGGTGTGGATGAATACGGAGGGTCGTGGTGATGCATTGAGATGCTGGAGGGTCGGACGTGATTTGCTCGTATGGGGCTCGGCTCCCTTGATGTCCTCATTTTGAAAATAGCGCAGTTGTGATACAGTTAGGCACGCTGAGAATTCCTTGATTGTGAAACGTAGCCTGACATTTCATCGAGTCCCAGAATGGCGACAATAAGTCAATTGTGCCTTCCATTGCAGGTTGAAATGGCATGCAAACCCTCAAGCTCCCTGATAATTTTTGTGATATCATGGCGCGAAGTGCACCAGTTTTTGATATCGAAAGTACATATGTGTCAAGTATTTCATCCCCAAAATAATGGACACACAAGCACCCACGCACTCATTCTTATGCGAATTCGAAGTTCTTGATTAATCAGGTGCAAGAATATCAGATTGAGCAGATCGTTCAGGTTCATGGGTGACTCTTGATAGATTTAGTCTCTTTCAGTGGCGAATGCATAAAATTTTAATGGGGGCGGTTCCCAAGTTCCCCCCTCCCCCCTCCCTAGCCCCCCACCCCCCCACCTACCACCACCCTCCGTCCTATCGATTTTTTTCATTTTTCGTCTGGGAAAAAAACCCGAACACCCATTTCACAGGCCCAATAAAGACTAATTTATGTGCTTTTAAAATTTAAATTTGAACCTTGTCGTAGGGTCGCCCCCGTCCCCCCTCCCCTGGATCCGCCACTGGTCTTCATTGGTTGGTCCTTTTCCATTGTAAAGAAAAATTCGCTTTATTGCATTTAAGCTGCAATCATGAACGGATTTAAAATAAATTGCTTCCCTCGAAAATGGATGTCTCACCGTAAGTGCCAATATGTTCATGTGGCATATTCAATCAGCTGACAACCATTTTAGTCCATCATGTTGATCAGAGCTACATAGACATTCCCGGTCTCGAAAATGAAATAATGAAATATTGCTCGATTCTTTGAATCGGGTCACAAACAAGCGATAGCATCGTATAGACAGAAAACCTGCTCAATGCAGTCCTGTCAGACAAGGGATCCTCCCAGCCTTGTTGGCCACGAAAACACGCCTTTTCTAATGATACCCAAGAAAACGTGTTCAGTCCTCATTACAATGTGTTCCTGTCCTGATCACAGTCCTCATTACAATGTGTTCCTGTCCTCATTACAGTCCTCATTAATTCAATGATCTGACGAAGGTGCAGATGAGCAAATTTGAACATTTTTGCATTTTCAATTTTCAGACTGAAAGGTGAAGTTTAAAAAATGCTTCCTCTTTGTTTGAGAGCGGAGACTTTCAGCTTCCTAATGCACTCAATATTGTCAAACATTCCTGGATTCTCATGCTGCAATTAAAAATAAAACAATTGTCCTGAAAATTTGCAAAATTGCGCATTCGCCTCCATTTCAGATCATGGACGATCAAGATCTTCAGGCTTCATCGGTAGACTCCTGAGAGCCTGATAAATTCGGCATTAGGAGTCAAAAATGTCGGCAGCCGAAGTTTGGAGCAACTCGGGCAAACCTATTGATAAAAAGTGGTAATGAGTTTGTGGTAATGGCCAAGGTTTTGTGTATTCATCGGTTCTGATCCTCGGGAATTCTGCAATACGCTTTCACGCCACATTTCACTCAATGTACGTCCTTCCGGGAAACGAATCCTTCGATGCGATCAGGATCCGACGGGGAATCCCGCCCGCGTGTCAGTTCCACAGTTTCGCACGACGTCGTCCACCATAGTCCAACCCTCAAGGGTCTTCGCAGGCATTGCAGACGAAAACACAGCGATAAAAAAAAAGGTCGGAAGGCGCCTCTGTTGTTTCCTCGTGTCTCCCTTGCTTCGAACCTTGTCGAATGTCCTTGTGTCGGATCTTGGCGACCCCCCTGCAACTGCCGCGTTGCGCTCGCTGTTGCTCCAGCCACCAACTACACGCCTGGGCCGGCACACGGTGAGGGCTGGCGTATTTCATTAGTTTAGCGCTCCATTCCAATTTTTCTAAATGCATTTATCCTTTTATATTATATTTTATTTATTTGAAATCCTACGTCATTTTTATAATTTATCATTTTGTTTCACAGAGAGGTTAAAGAGAAGGATGTCCCCTCAGAGGCCGACACGGTCATCATCGGCGGGGGAGTTTTGGGTACCTCAATTGCGTATCATCTCGCCAAGGCGGTAAGCTTGGATAATGCGCTCTTAAAATGAATATAAATATACGTTTTTAGTAAATAAAAAAATTACGTAACCATAAATTAATAATCATGAACTCATTAAAAATAATGAAATGCATTTTAATTAATTTTTTACGTAATTTAATATTTAATTATCTCCTCCACCTCGTCCAAAGAAAGTTAAACCACGTGAAATATTTTTATTTATTTATTTTTAAAATTTCGCGAATTTGATACGCAAATGCTCCATGATCTAATTCGCCTATTGGAGCCAACAATTTAACAGGAACAATGTCGGACTTCGAACCAGGGTCGCAAGGGCGTCGTGCTGCTGGAGAAGAGCGAATTGACCGCCGGGTCGACATGGCACGCGGCCGGCCTCACCGCGCTCTATCATCCGGGCATCAACCTCAAAAATGTCCATTACCACAGGTAAGCCGAGAATAAACAATGCAATAAATATTTTCCGCGAAAATTTAAAATTTAAATAAATAAGTTCATACAACGCACTAAAGCAAGAAGGAACTACTTCTTTCAGTAAATAAAATTATATTTATTCATCGATTAAATTAATGAGTCATAACATTATTCTTAAAGAATGTAACACGAGTGCATTGCTTAAAGCAATGCACTCATGTTTTAATTTATATATTTTAATATATAAATTATATATTAAAATATTGCATGTCTCTTTCCAGCATAAATTTGTACAGCCAGTTGGAGGCGGAGACGGGCCAAGCGGTGGGATTCCACCGACCCGGCAGCATCCGCCTCGCCACCTCGCCCGTGCGGATGGAGGAGATGAAGCAAGTGGATCGCTTAATGTCTGGGTGGCGGTGGATGACTTAAGGTCTTGCGAGCGGCGCTGAGGCTCGATGAGCTCGTCTTTTAATTGTTGCGCGGGGGTTTAACCGGGGATAACGGTATGATAACGTTCTGTGTNTATTTGATTTCATATTAATTGCTTCATCATTTGTGTTAATCCATATATTTCCCATTAATTCCTTTTTATTAAAAATTGTGATTCCATACGAGGTTGCATGCGCTTAAGTTATTTCTTAAATGGTACCTTCATGATTTATCGGTACTAAAAATTACTTGAATTAATAAATTGACTTGATTTTTGCTGCGGATTCTCATGAGAATTATTTGGACCCGAACAAAAATTTACTCCCAAAAATTAACATTTATTATCGTTAAATTCACTTGTCATTCATTCATTTATATTTATTTTATCACTTGAGAGAAATTTCATCCAACTTGTTGTAATTGAATCCAACCGCGTGCTTTCCTTTTTTTTCTGATAAATTTTTCCTTATAAATAAATATAATTCCTAAATTATATTTATTTATAAGGAAAAATTTTAAGATATATTATATATAATATTATAATTATAAAATAAGATATAAAAAATTTTCTCCTGGCGAAATTTACTTGTCACGGAAATGGCATACTTTCTCATGGAAAGGCTATGTGAATGGCCACAAGCAAAAAGTCCATCGCATTCTTGCGAAAAATGGCAAAAATATAAGAATTTATGCGAATATTTGCAAATTTTTTCGAAATTAAATCGACCGAGCGATTCTCTTTGACGTTCTCTGACCTCCCTTCTCTGACCACCCTTCTCTGACCACCCTCTTCCCGAAAAAGGCTTCTGGGCGAAGGAGGTCGGAGCGCTGATGGGCCTGGACCTCCCCCTCGTCCCCATCCACCACCAGTACGTGGTGACCTCCTCCATCCCGGAGGTGCAGGCGCTCCGGCGGGAGATCCCCGTGCTCCGGCACCTGGACGGCTCCTTCTACCTCCGCATGGAGCGGGACGGCCTCCTCGTCGGGCCCTATGAGTCGCAGGAGAGCATGAGGATGAGTGAGGATTGGGTCACCGATCGAGTGCCTCCCGGTCAGTAAAAAAAATTTATTAAAAAATTTTTTAAAAATCTCTTTGTATAGAAAAGTATCTTTAAATTTTAGCATTAAGTTTTTTTAAATTGGGGAAGTGAAGAACGCAAAAATAATTTCTTCGGATACCAAACTCGACGGAAGAATTAAAAAAAATTATGATGACAGGAGTGAATATCTTCAGCAGTACTTAGTAGTACTGAGAGAAGTACTTTAACACCTCGTGTTTCGATTATGCGATCGTTCTCGGCCAGGGTTCGGGAAAGAGCTGTTCCAGCCGGACCTGGACCGCCTGGCCCCCCACCTGGAGGTGGCGATGGAGGCCGTGCCGTGTTTCGCCCGGGCCAGCATCCAGACAGTGGTGAATGGGCCCATCACCTACTCCCCAGACCTCCTCCCGCTCGTAGGGCCCACAAGAGTGCCCAACGCTTGGCTTGCGGCTGGCTTCGGGTCTGTTTCTTAGGGGGAAGGTGGGGGGAAGGTGGGGGAAAGATGGGGGAAGGTGGGAGGAAGGTGGGGGGAAGGTGGGGGGAAGGTGGGGGGAGGTGGGGGGAAGGTGGGGGGGAAGGTGGGGGGAGGGTTCAGTGGCTTTAGGAGGTTGGGGTTTTGTTCGACGCAAATTTTCTATAAATTCCATGCAAGATGGAAAGTGTCGAGAATGTTCCAGATTTTCTTCATCGAGATTTTTCATATTTAGACGGCCTATAATAATATTCAATAGCTTTCTACATCTTCACGAATTTCTGAGGGTCGACATCTCGAGCGAATCACCGAACTAACGAGTTACCAAAACGACCGATAGACGTCTCCAGCGAGCATTTTTTTATTAAAAACCAATCGAGCAATAATGCACGCTTGCCCTCGATATCCCCCCCGCAGGTACGGGATCATCCACGCCGGCGGGATGGGCAAGTACCTGGCCGACTGGATGATCCACGGGGAGCCGCCCTACGACCTCATCGAGGTCGACCCCCTCCGCTACGGGAAGTGGACCGACAACGACTTCCTCTTTGCCAAGGCCAGGGAATCCTACGGGTTGAACAACTCTCCGACCTATCCCAAGGAAGAACGATTTGCAGGTGGGCAATGCCCCTCTCCCTCTCTTTGCCCCCCTTGTTCCATCTCTGTTGCCCCCCCTCTCATTTGCCCCCCTTGCTCCCCCTTCTGTTGCTCCCCCCCTGTTCCCCCCCATTTGCCCCCTTTTGGCCTTCCTTCGAATTATCTGAGGTTTATCGCCTCAAAGTTTCACATGGAAAAAGGCAAATCAGGTTCATACCCATCAAATCTCGACGACTGCTCCCCCCCGTCTCCTCTCGACCCAACCCACTCGAACGAAACCAATTAGACTAATTTAAAAAAAAAAAACAACCATCACGACTCACCCCATCTCCCCCTCAGGCCGCCCAACCCAGCGAGTCAGCGGCATCCACTCCGCCACGAAGCAGCGAGGGGCCTTCATGCACTTCGCCGCCGGCTGGGAGGTCCCCGCCTGGTTCGCCAAGCCGGGCGTGCCCGCTCTATACCAGCCGAGCTTCACCAGGTTGTCCCTTGCGCAATCGCACCAGCTGTCGCATTCTCATCAGATAATTTCCATCCTTTTCGATTTTTAAATGCTGAGTTTTTTGTTTGGTTTCCGAGAGCCTTTACTCGCGTTTTGCTGTTTTTTTTTAAATTACTATTTATTAATAGTGTACTTCTTTTTTTTTATTTAATTACTTTGTGCTCATTTTATTTATATTTATTAATTTTGTCGTTATTATTTTTTTAACCATTTTTTCTATTTCTTCTGAAAGGATTCTGTAAAGTTTACCAGCATTTCCCCCTCTCTGACTGGAATTTGCACATGCAAAATTTATCGAATATCGCCGAACCGTTTCAGGACCAATCACCACGAGCCGGTCCTGGCGGAGTGCGACCTGGTGACGAACACGGTCGGCGTCACCGACCTAACCGCCTTCGGCAAGTTCGAGATCGTCGGCAGGGATGCACGAAAGTTTGTTCCAAATGTTGAATTTTTTTTGCATTGGGGTCATTGGCACTCGATAGATTGGCGACATTTGAATCCATAAATAGCGCATCGTTCGACTAGAGTTTTTGGCATTCGAAGGAATTCTTTAAAAAAAATTAATTTCTCAATCAATTTATAATAATATATGCTGAAATATTAATTTCTCAGTCAATGCTAAAATAAAAAGTTATGCCTCTCCCTCCGGAAGCACACGAGCCAAAACTCGCATTTTGCACTCGAGGAACGTGCAAAATTCTCCCATAGGTTCCTGGACCACGCGACGGCGAACACGGTGCCCAAGGAAGGCCGGACCGCGATCACGCACTGCCTCACGCCCAGGGGGAGGGTCTACGCGGAGATCACCCTCACGTGCCTCGAGCGGGACACCAGGTTTTTGGGGGTCACGGGCGGAACCAGCGAACTGCATGACATCAGGTAGAGGACACTGTCAATTATCAGGTTTTGTCAATTATCAGGTTTGGTGAATTATCAGGTTTTGTCAATTATCAGGTTTTGTCAATTATCAAGCTTTGTCAATTATCAAGCTTTGTCGATTTTCGGTTGTCAATTATTGGTTATTGCTCATTATTTGTCATTGTCAATTATCGTTTACTGGCAACTATCGGTTACAGTCAATTATCAGGCACTGTCAATTATTGGATATTGTCAGTTACCAGGTACTTGCTGCTTGGGGGGGAGGGGGGGTGGCATGTTCTCAAGTTTTGGTGAAAATCGCAGTCATATCTTAAATGATGACTCACATCGTGATTCTGGGACTAATCTTGGAGCATGTCTATGCTGATGTATATATTTTTATGCTACTCTGGAAGAAAAAATAAATGCGGCTTGGTCGATAACTATGTAAAAATTCTGCAAAATATATATTCAAGGTTCTTCAGGGTTCTCTTTTTATCAATTTTTTTTTACCATCGAATTTTTGTCGATCCTTTTTGCATTGGTCATTGGAAATTCCGAGAATCTGCAGGTCAGTGTGGGTCAGTGACTCCCACGATGGCTTCACGCTGGCACTCGTCAAAACGTCGGTCTGGTTTTTGTCAATCTTCGGTCCCGACCTGCATCGGGAAGCGATAATTAATCCGAATTAAAGGAGAAATAACGGGAAACTCTTTTTTCCTACAAATTTTCCCGCAAACATTTCCTAAATATTTTTATTATTTTTTTAATTTAATTTTTTTACATTTCATCCAATGTTCCATAAATGGTCCCAAGTGTTCCATGACCTGTCTCTAACGTTCCAAAAAATGTTCGAACATTTTCGATCAGAAATGTTCATTTTCCAGGTGGCTGGAAGAGCAGGCCAGACTGGGGAATTACCAGGTGGAAATCGCGAATCGAACCGACGAACTCGGCGTCCTCAGCATCGCCGGCCCCAAGTCCAGGGAACTTCTGAGGAGGCTCACGACCGACGACGTCGACCGATTCCCTTTTCTGTCCATTCGAAAGGTAAATGGGCAATACCACATGCAATAATGTCCTCAATATCATATTCAATGCAATATGCAATATCATATGCAATGCAATATGCAATATCATATGCAATGCAATATGCAATACGATATGCCATTCTTCAGGTATATCCAATACCGTATGCTATATTATATCTAGCACCATATGCAATACTATGTCCAATACCATATCTGATGCAATGTGCCATGCAATATGCAATTCCGTGTGCAGTTTCATATGCCATGGAATGCAATGGGAGTCGGGTCCTCGAAATCGTTCCCAAATACTTGCAGATGAACGTCGGCGGCGTGGACCTGCTGGCCCTGCGGATTTCATACACAGGGGAACTTGGATGGGAATTCTACCTGCCACGCGACAAGATGGGACAGCTTTACGCCGCCATCCTGGATAAGGGCAGGGATCTCGGTAAGCCAAATCCAAATCCAATTCCGGGATTAGAGGGCCACTTGTAAAGACAGCTGACCGTCTTCAAATATTGGTTACCGCGGAAGAATCGATGTATCTTTGGGATATCAAAATATATCAATTAAATTGCATCAGATACATCATTCTATTATTGGACAGTCAATACCAATACCAATACCAATACCAATTGCAGTTTACTCTTCTACGATTCGCAATTGTAAAGCTCATACTAATTATTTCTTGCTACTGAAATTACATTATTGAAATTGCCACATCGACAGAACCCTCACACTAGCTTTCCACATATATTTAAATGCAACATTTAAATGTAACATTTAAATGTAATTTAAGGTGTCGGCGACTTCGGGGGCATGTGCTCCAACGTCCTGAGACTCGAGAAAGGCTTCCGTCTCTGGGGAGCCGAGATGAACGTGGATACCAACCCTCTCGAGGCCGGCCTCCATATGTTTCTCAACCTCAACAAGGTGCCGGAAATATTTTAATTACACGTTATATCATAATTTTTTCCCGCGAAAATATATTTTAAAATATGTTTTTATAGTACAGTTTATTAATATTTTACATCACGCATTTATTTACATATTATATATTTATTTCGCTGATATTTTCTCATTATTTTATTTGCATTTTTATATCATATATTTATTTACATTTTCTCTGGCATTTTGATCAGTTCATTCGAGCCCTCATGTCCAACATTTTTTAAAGGAGTTTTTGGGCAAGAAAGCCATCCTCGAATACGAGGGCAGAGGTGTCTACCACAGGAAGCTGGTCATGCTGGACGTCGACACCTCCAATGTGGACCCAGAGGGCAATGAGAGCATATGGTGCAGCGGAAAGGTATGTCGACGGTAGAGCAAGATGGTTATTGAGCAAGATGGTTATTGAGCAGGATGGTTATTGAGCAGGATGGTTATTGAGCAGGATGGTTATTGAGCAGGATGGTTATTGAGCAGGATGGTTATTATGCTTGATGCCAACTAAGCAGGATTGCTATCAGTAATCCAGTAAATCCAGTAAAATTATAATTTAGGTATGATATATTATTTATGTACAATGAATAATTTGTTGTAGGTTGTTGGCAACACGACCTCGGGATGCTTCAGCCATGCTCTCAATCGGGGTCTGGCCTTCGCCTATCTTCCACCTTTTCTGGCTCTTCCAGGGACACAAGTCGATGTGAGAAAAAAAAGTCACATATTTACAATAATTTTGTGTACCACTTGTGCGAGAAAAAAATTAAAAAAAAAAAAGTTTTGGCTGATGAAAAAAAAATTTTTCAGGTTGAACTTCTGGGGGAACACCGAACGGGGACGGTCCTGGCGAGGCCGCCGGTGGAGACGGAAGTGGTCAGGTCAAGGAAGGCCAAGGCGGCGTAGAAGGCGGCCAAGTCCGATGTCATAAGAAGGTGGTCGATGGTGCCGTGCTTCTGAATGCGCTTCGAGTAACTTTGATTTCAGGTCAATTTTTTTTTCTCGATGAAATGCTGTCCAAAATATTATATATAAATTTGGGAATATATATATGAATCAATGGATAAATAAATATAAACGGAACAATAATTTTCCCGCATTTTTGTGATGACTGTCATTTGTGAAGTCTTTTTTTCATACTCAAGATAACATACCCATGTAATAAATTTTCGTGAGATTGATCTCACGGTATCCAGATTATTGGGAGAAAAAAAATTATTTTCGAATTTCACAAGGAAATATCAAGGGAATGTTTAAAAAAAAAGTCGGGTACCGTATGAGGACTACTTGAAGAAGGAATAGGGCCCCGGTAATAATAAAATTAAAAATAAATTAAAGTGATGCAACGTTTTATATAAAAAAACTGGACCATTAGTTCTACTCGGATTCGGATAATCCGCGGATCAGATCGATTTGTCTCTGCAGTCGAGTTCCAATTGAATTCAACCGAAATGCAAAAAAAAAAGAAAGTTCATTAGATATGATAAAACGTCACATCATGTGTGAACGCTCCTTACACATGTGGCAAATTGTCTTGGAACGCTTTTCGATGAGCTTTTTCATGACCGGTAGCTCGAAGGAAGGGAATCTCAATGTCTGGGATAGGCGAGTGAGTTCAGCGAAGCTACCGCCGGCGGGTTTAACAGGGCTAGCATTAACTTGTCATTACCATGTCGTGATTCTATTACCTTGTCATTACCCTGCCATGATCCCATTGCCCTGCCATAATCCTATCATTATCCTGCTGTTGCCATGGCATTACCCCGTCATTACCCTGCCATTGGCCTGTAATTCCCATTGTGTCGAAAATAGCCGCCGGGCTCCGTCCGGTACAGGTTCCCCCGCGTGGAACAATGAAATTCCATTAGCGGTTGGAGAATGAAAAGAAATTCAGGCTGATTCCAAGACGATTGCGGTCGAGAGTCGCGGCAGTGCTTGGCAGTTTGCCCCAAAAAAAAAAATTTCTTGAAGAGTCACGGCGCCTTATTCAAGGACTGAAGAGCGAGCCATTATTGCATGCTGATGGGAATTTTGCGCGTTTGGGCATAGCCCAACTATTTTTGTGGCCTTGGCTTCCACGCCTTTCCGGGCGATCCGTCACCAGCGTCCATAACGAGGGCATGCTCTCCCTGTTCACTTGTCAACTTCGAGCGCCATGCTCGCAATTGACGGTGAACACGATTCGCCGTGCTCGCAATTGACGGTGAACACGATTCGCCTGCTCGCAATTGACGGTGAACACGTGCTCGCAATTGACGGTGAGATGGAGGCGAAGTGCTTGCAATTGACGGGGAGATTGAGGCGACGTGCTCGCAATTGACGGGGAGATTGAGGCGACGTGCTCGCAATTGACGGGGAGATTGTATTATCAGAAGGGAATTACAAGCAGGGAATGGAATTCACGTCAGGAAGAGGCACATTTTCTTAAGCGTGGCCTATACGCGGGTGAGAGATGATAATTTTATTTATAATACGACGATAATACGATAATGAAATGGCAGGACAATAGTACCATGCCGGATAACGCCGGCTAACGGTGGACAATGTCGGAAAGTAATAATGACGCCGGATCAGATCGGATATGACAGACGGAACGGCTGTCAGATTAAGTTTTTTTTCCGATCGCATTTTTTTTTCAGCAGCTCGATGAATCGGATCGGATTATGGAAATCCGTTCCAAGCTGACCTTGAGGGCCAGAGAGAGAGACTTCAAGGACGCGGATGCCCTCACACGTTGTTTCGCGTCACGTCAGCCTGCACAATGACAGCCCTCTCGCGCATGTCTTCATCGATTGTCCTTGAAAAACGTCGATTGCCCGTCCGGAATGCCAATTGCCCTTGGAAAACGCCGATTGCCCGTCCGGATTGCCAATTGCATTCCGAAAATGTTTCCGTGAGGTACTTTATCATCGGGAAAATGGCTCTGAGGGCTTTCTACCTGTTGCCATGCCGTATGAGCCGTGAAGGTATTTTAAATATGTATGCATTGGTATACCGTATGAGTCTTGATTTATTTCTTTTTTAAAAATATACCATATATAATATTGTTTCCTTTTTTTTCGTTTACTCTTAGAATCTGCAGAATGCAAGTTTTGGAAAAACGATGCCTTTCGCAAATTCACCAAACATGGTGTCTAATAGTAAAAAAGTCACACTACAGGGGAAAAATTATTTATTTTTATAACAATTATTTTTCAAACTAGACTCACAGATAATCACAATTGCGCTCATTCCTCCAAAGGGAACTTCACAAGTATCCCTTCTAGTGAGTTGGTATGAGACTTGAATTTGTCTCAAGGGGAAAATTGAGAGTTGCCTAAACCGTTTACGGGTCGAGGGGAGGTCAAGGGTTATTCGCCGACAGGTCTATGTCAAGTGAGGCCTAATGACATAGACCCCACGGGGAGTCCAGGTGCCTCCGCTCGGTCCCGAGAAAGGCATGAATAAGGCATAGCCGCGTCGGACTCGATGGGGACTGAGAGGATCCAGGCCCCCCCCCTTGCTTAGACGATGCTTAGACCATGCATAGACCATGCATAGACCCTGCAGCTATGACGGTTGGTGTCACGCGGCTTCGCAGTCTTATCGCTGCGCGTGCCTTTCCAGTTCCACTGCTTGGTGTTGCCAACGCGGGTCGTGCTTTCGTGGAGGCCAGCGATTTTTTAATTATAAATGAATGGTTCTGGTGCTGTAATTATATTTAAAAATCGACTGCATTCCCTTCCTACTCGAATGTGACTTAACGTCTTCATTCCATGCCTTCGCTTAATGTCTTCATTTCATGCCTTCACTTAATGTCTTCATTTCGTTGATTCCCGACAGGTGGAAAAGGAGATTCGGCGTCGACAGCGACAAAGGTCACGACGCCACCACGAAGGACACTCGGACATTCACACATTCACACGCGAGACCGGTCACCCAGCGAAGGAGGACATCCAGCCCGTATCGGACCCTCCCATCTCGAGAGCGGAGTGGAAGGCATCGAGGGAGGACAGGGAGAGGGAGGGCAGGGGAATGCCCCGGGTGAAGGCCGCGTCATAGCGTCCCTCCCTTCCTCCCTCCCTTCCTCCCTCCCCCGCGGCGGTCCGTCACCTCGCCTCGCTCTGCCCTCGGCTGTGTCGCTTTTTGTCTCGGGGCGGGGAGTGCGGGACCGTGCCGTGTCTGTGCCGTGTCTGTGTCGGAGTGAGTTCTGGCTTTCTGTGCTCCTATGGAGTGGGGGAGGGTTATCAACTTTAGTGCCTAGTTTACCGGCGGATTCAGTTAACCTACGGTAGACCGACAGCACGTTAGCGATTTTTTTTAGCGTTGCCTAATAGGTGAGAAAACACGGAAATAATTAAGGGGGGCTAACGCGCGAGAGAATCGTGAATCTGCGGGATCTCGCCCGCGCGATGACGTCATTCATTACGTCACACCCGCGGTCTCCTTCCCGTCCGAGTCCCGAGCGAAATTGTCTGACGTGGACGTAAACGTGGGACACAAGCTTCGAAGTCCGAGAAGCTCTACAGCCCACCGGTGAAAGACCTTAAGCGCTGCACCGTGCAGCTAAAGTGTAAGAATGCTAATTGGTGACCGTTCATTGTTCAGCTTTAATATCTCATGGAGTTCTTGGTATCTTGCTATGTGCAATATTGCATGTGCAATATTGCACATACAATACATATTGCAATATTGCATGTGGAATATTGCACATACAATACATATTGCAATATTGCATGTGCAATATTGCACATACCGATTACTCGCCAAAAGCGTTTGCTTCACTCGGGTTCAAACGCTTAATTTAGCATTATAATAGCGGACGTTCTCCTGGCCTGGAGGCCTGCACGGGTAAACTATTTCGAAAAACCCGATCGGCCCGATTCGAAGCGTGTTCCCACCGGGCCGAGATTTCGAGGACCTCGCCCGCGGATCGCGTCGGGCCGGGCCAGCCCGCGCAGGGCTCTAGGCTTCGGGGCTCGGGGTTCGGCCTCGCTCGAGGAGGCTCTGTGGGCGCTCTCAGCCGTCCCGTGACGTGTTCGTGCTGTTCGGTGCTCTCGTGGGTCGCTGCGTTTCGCTGCCGGCTGCTTGTCCGAAAAAAAAAAAACAATTATGACAAATTAAAAAAAAATAAAAAAACGTTTCTTCTCTTGATAACAGATGAATTTTTTTCTTACTTATTTCGAAGGAGGTGCGGAATGGAAAGGGACTTCCGGCACCAGGTGAAGCACTGGGAGGCCTTCCGGTATGGCGCGGAGGGCGAGGCGTGCTGCCTCTGCCGCGCGCCGGGGCGGGGATCGCCCCTCTGCGGCGAGTGCCATGCGTTCCTCTATCCGGCGCGGGGGGCGCTGCTGTCGCACGAGCCGCTGAGGAAGCCTCGAAGGTAAAGGGGCCGTTCTTGGTTTGCTTTTTTGAACGCAAGATGTCTCTACTGGATCCAATTTTTTTTTTTGCGTGATGTTTTTGCCCGAGTTTAAGCTCTTCCAAGGGGGAGAATGGGATTTTAAATGGGTTTGCCACTCCAAAAAATGGATTGATGACTTTAGAATACACTTTTGTTTTAATATTTCCATATTATTGTGATAATTTTAAAACATTTGGAATCGTACCATTTCGCCGAGTCTTCCCATTGAAATCCCCGAAAGAAATGTCGCACAAAGAAAGTCCTAAAATAAATCACTTGTAAACATTAGATTAGGCTGAATAAATGATCCGACTTGATAAACGAAACAATTGGAGTTATTTGTAAGTCACTTGGAAGAAATTCCCTTACATGTAACGAAACTAACCACCAGGCCGAGAGCAAAAAGGAATTGCTCCCGTGTGGATGGACGATGCGAACTGAATCATTTGGCATGATCTCAAATCAATTCATCTGGCACGATCAAATCATTTGGCATGATCTAATTTTGACCGTTTCTATATGTTTGTCCCATTCATTCGGTGATGAATGAATAAATGAAGGAGGAAGGGGTTGATGAATGTGGATGGGTGTTTGCAGGGCGTCGAAGCTGGCATCGCCGCCGAGGGAGGCGCGCCTCCCGCAGGACGCGTTCGGCGCCCTCCCGGACGAGATGCTGGAGGAGATTTTTTCGTACTTGGACGACGTGTCGCTGTACTGCGCCTCGCGCGCCTGCAGGCGGTGGGGCGACATTCTGGCCAGGGTGGAGGTGGGCCGGCGGTGGCGGGAAGGGACGCTGAGGCGGTGGCCGCTGCTGCGCGTGCCGCCGAGGATGGGGCAGGGGGTGGAGTGGGGGCGGGTCTATGCGGATCTGGCCCGAAGCGCCCCGTGTCTCAAGTGCCTCCTCGAGTTGGGTCGCGAGGAGGGTGGCGAGTTCTGCAACGGGGCGACCGGCGGCCCACGGAACGCCCAGCCGCCCCTCGAAGGCTGGGACGCCCCAGGACGACTCTCGACCCTTCAGGCCTCGATCGACGGCCCTTCCAACAGTCCATACGAAGGCGGCCGCTTCTTCCTCGCCATCCACCTTCAATCCGACCGCCTTCCCCCCAACCGCCTCCCCTCCAGCCACCTTCCTCCACAGGTGCGCTTCCTCACCAAGATCTTCCACCCAAACGTGAGCAGGCACGGGGACATCGGCATTGACTTCCTCCACGAGCCCTGGTCCCCCTCCCTCCGCCTCCACAAACTCCTCCTCAGTATTCAGTGCCTCCTCACCAATCCATATTCCTATGTAAGACTTTTTTTTTTAATACTATTTTCAGCTTATTTTTTTAAATTTTAAAATCCCTTTTTCCATTTTCTTTCTCTCCGCCCTTTATCAATGTAATACTTTCACATTAATTCAAGATTTTGTCGGATTAGCATTTTCTGCTGTAGCGATAAAAACCCCACGTAATTGAAAGTCGTCTTCTTGTGCAATCAGCATGAAAATTACGAATAAAAAAAAGGATATATGCAAAAGATTAAGTTAATGAAATGTGCAGCACGCCAGCTTTCAAGCAGACCCTATTTTAAGCAAAGGAATAATATTTTCAAACTTTCGTTCGCATAAAATACGTAACGTAATATTATGTTATTGAGTTATTTATTTCATTTGTACTTCATTCCTGCGAAGAAAGTCGCCCCGAATTTCACAAGTTTTGATCCGGCGTCCACGCAAATCTCAAGTTGAACCCGATGGAATTGTCTCTCTCGAGGTTTGCATGGAGCCGGCCATCGGGGAGCTGCACAGGCAGAAGCCGGAGGTGTTCGCGAGGATCGCCGCGGCGTGGACTCGCAAATTCGCCATGCACGACCATCTCCTCATCTGATGGGAGAAGAATCCGGTGTCGGTGATGCCTTTGTGACGGTGCCATTTGTGACAATTATGTTTGTGACAGTGTCAATTGTGACGATTACGTTTGTGATTGTCATTTGTGACGATTACGCTTGTGACAAAACGTTTGTGGCAGTGTCATTTGTGACGGTCACGTTTGTGATAGTGTCAATTGTGATCTACGGCTGAACTGAGCGCTTCAGATTCTGCATCTCACTCGAACTTAAAAGTTCCTCGCCTACGTGTTCTTTCTCAGTCGTGTCGCAATTTATTTTCCTCTTTTTTTCGCTTTTACCGCCAAACTGCCGCTAAACGGGCTTTCATCGCACGTTCCTGTCAAACTCGTTGGATTTCGAGGCATGCCGGGAGGCGTTAACCGCTAGCCTGGAAACCAGGTTATCCGAGGTTAACGCATCGCCGTGCTGTCAAATGTTGGAGAAAATTTTTGTTTTTTATGTATTTTGGTTTTTCACATTAACATATTTTACCACGCAGGAAATTCCCACTGCTCGAGTTTCTTCATTGACTGACCTCAACACGTTGAACACGCCGTCTCCAAGTCACTTTCGAGGCGACTCGCGAATGTTGCGGGAAATCAAGAGTCAGGAGAGTTAGTGATATCAAGAGGCGATTTCGCCCATTTCGATATCGCGTGTCGAGGTCGAGCGTTCCTTAACTTTAGGGTAGGATTAACCCTCTTCAAGCAAAATATTTTTGTATTTTTGTTTTGTTTTGTTTGTTTTTTTTTTTGACTATCGTAGTTGCTTACTGTCTAGTACCTCACGTGAACATTGCCCCCCACCTTTTCGAAATCGTTTCCTTCTCGACGCCGGGAACGACCGAGGACGCGAAACGGCGTGTCGTTACCGCGGTTATAGGCTGTAACCTCGACCGGTAACCTCGTGGAAATTCCAGATCAAAATGGGATCTCAAAGCGAAAATTCCAAGCTTCCTGGGACGAGCGGATACTCTCTCATCGGAAAAATTTGGCTAAATTCAGCGTGAAAAAGATTAAATGAAACCGCTGAAAATAAAACGGTTCCGGGATGGTATACCTTTCTCGATGAATATTAATATTCCCTCATCGACCGCTTAAAATCGAACGACACCGGCGAGGCTCGCGGTTGCTTGTGCCTTTCCCGCTGAGGAAATTTAAATGTTCTCGACGAAAAACTCGATTTTTCGGCATGCCAATTTTCACTGTGATCATGCCAATATTTGTCTGAACCATACCGAAATAGGCGGTAATTACAATAGGTAATTATAATAGAATTACAATATTCAATAATGAATAGAATTCATCGGTTGGCCTTAACTTTTGGCAATATTGAGCGCACAATGAGGAGAAATGTGCAAGAAATTCCTGCGAGGCATCTCGAAAAGCCATGTCATTTCGTCACCTCAGTTCAATAAGGTTCTTTCTGACATTTTCATGAAAAATGAGGTAATGACATCTAAGTAACCCACATGGAGACCAGATTCAGGAGACATTTGTGTGAATTTCCTCAAGGAAGGCTGGAATTAACGGTTCTTGAAGGTTCTATCGGCCGTTCCTGGCCAATAGGTAAAGACAAAACTCTGGAGACTTTTGATTGGTTTATTTTCCCGGGTAGGCGGTCCCCTATTGCCAACAGGCAATTTTTTTTCAAGTGCGATTTCCAAGTAGCTGGAAACAGGATATCAAAGAACCCCAAAGCGTGAATGCGAATTTGGACGTCTAGCCGCCTTCCCCACAAAACGGTAACATTTGGATTCGTGAGAGAAAGGCTTTCCTCTTTACTGCAATGAGTGGCGATGAGTCTTCTAGACGGTCAAAATTTCCCTCTCCTTCCCGTTGAATACACACATGCGATCGATCGATCGATTTGCTGAAGAGCGAGACACGAATAGAGGCGTAATTGAGGTTCGTCTGGTTCACCGGTCACAAACAGGAAAGTCTTCCCGTGAAGAATTACTGTTGACTGGGGGGAGTGGGGGGGAGTGGGGGCAAATGCTGAATTAATGATTTGTGCAAGAACTCGTCGAAGCGATAACGTCAAGGCAAAAACGTCGAGGGGAGACAAAGGAGAATGACGTGCGAGTAGATTAAGCACAGAGGCTAGATAAAGGTGATTATTTCAATAAATTATGGGATGGATCCAGTGTCTCGTTGAAGGCGATTGGGAAAATGGGAGGAAAATGTTCGAGATGGACGATTTTGGAGGCGACGCCATATCCCAAGTCCAAAGATGCATCTGCTTCTTGGGAATTGCTGAAATTATTTACCGAAAATCGCCGTCGGCGGTGCAATAAAAATTGTCGTAATTTAATCACTTCAGCTGGTATACTATAAAGAGAGTCTTGAACTATTTTAGAGAATTGGTGAAGAATTAAACCGAAAATTCCTTTTTCTTGCATTAGTGAAAGCTGCGCGAGGCAATCCGAAGGCTTACCGTTCAACATATAATATTAATACGGCAAGATGGAACTTGCCAATATGGGTTCCGTCGCATAATGGACATCGACTTGGAGAAGAAAAATGTCCTTGGACTCCTGTTTTAAAGAGTTGCAGTTAAAAGAATGTGTTATGGAATTTAGCTTCGGTCCTGTCATCTGGCATTTGCTCCAATTAACTAAGGATTCCACCGCCGAAAATGGATGGCAAATGAGTCGTCGTGTTTCTGAGTCGTCCTACCCGGAAAGTAATCCTATCCAAAATTGCCATGACCTGCAAATCTGGAAATTTGAAATTTTTTATTTGGGGCTTACAAACTACAATTTCAATACATCCACACTGATATTGTATTGTGGCTGTATCACTCAATAAAATGCATTGCTAAAGCATGATTTTGTTTAACCGTTCCATAATATTATCTGTGGATATCTCAACCTCAACCCGACCGATGAGTGGTTCGATGTGGCTGAGATAGCCACATAGAATCGAGATAGCTCGCTCTGGCCGACCTCCATGCGTTGCTCCTGTAATCCTGTAAATCTGCATTTGGAACCATGGAAGCAAACGAGGAAATTAGGGTGATGAAAATCTTCACGAAAACCCGTGTGAACGCGTGTGGCGACGGGCTGAGGAATGCGATGCCAGCGTTCCATTTTGGGAAAGACGGCAACTCTCGTTTCCAAGTTCATCCGAGAGATGGCAAGTCGAGAGCTAATATCCAATTTCCAATGGATATTGCCTCCCCTCCCTTTCTTATGGCCGATTTGCAAATTTCATTTCTCAATGGCACGTCCTCGGATGGTCAGGAAGAATTCTGTCGAAACCCCAAGTCCATATATCAAAGCGTTTGACCTGTAGAGCTGTCACACACACACACACACACGCACACACACACACACACACGATCACACAATTTTCACTCGGAAGAGCTAATGGCCAGAATCGCGCACGCTACATGTTTAACCTCCGAACCTCGGTTGCTTCGCAACCGAAGTCCTCCGGTTTGAAATATGATGATTGTATGATGAAGTCTCTCGAGTCTCGCTCTTGGAAGTCTCAGTCGTTTTGCATCGTTGTTAAAGAGTGAATTCCCTGTGAGCACTCTCTCAGAAGATTTTCTCCATTCGCCATGAGCAGGTACCTCATTATTGGAGATTTTCTCATGATGATAGGCTGGCATTACATTTGAATATAGTGGCTCAAAAGTGCATTATATAGTTATTCCTTCCCGATGCCGTCGAGAGTCATCTGAAAGTAAGCCGGGAATTGATCCGAGGCCAGAGCTGACGGTCCGTCGATTTCGCATGGGCCCGACCAAGCTTTCGTGCAGGGTGAAAGAATTTTTCTCCCCGGAATAGGCTGGGGGGTGAAAGAACGAAGGAAGAGCGGAAAAAGGCGAGGGAGAAGCGCAAGAGTGAAGACATCTGATGTATTCCATGGAATTAATTATGGAAAATTCCTATAGGATTCCTATAAGATTCTCATAGGAATTCTGTATGATTCTCATAGGATCCTATAGGATGCTTTAAGAGTTTTATTTTTTTTATTATAAATAATTTAGAATCCTAAAGAAATTTCTCGTAAGAGATGATATATTCCGCTGTCCATCGGCGAAAGCACGGAACCACGTGGAAACCACGTGGGAGCATGCACACTAGCGTGGTGAGAGGCGCTCCAGACTGGAGGGGAGTTGGTGTAAGGGGAATTCGACTCGATGCGACACGAGCTCTATATCATTGGAAGTTGAGCGTAAGAAATTAACCTCGGTGGCTCCTCAAACTCCTGTGAAGGGCCCGGCGGCCTGAAATCTCTAGCAATTATCTCATGAAAAATGAGATAATGGCATATAAGTAACCCACATGGAGACCAGATTCAGGAGACATTTGTGTGAATTTCCTCAAGGAAGGCTGGAATTAACGGTTCTTCAAGGTTCTATCTGCCGTTCCTGGCCAATAAGTAAAGAGAAAACTCTGGAAACTTCTGATTGGTTTATTTTCCCGGGTAGGCGGTCCCCTATTGCCAGCAGCCAATCCGATGTCTTGTTACAGCCAGCACCATCTGATAAAATTTCGCCTAACATCTAACTCGTGTTGAAGCAAGATGGTTTCACAGGTACCTTCTGCCTCTTTTTCCCGTGTTCTTCATGTTGTGAACAGGAAGAATCCAATACCTGTAAACAAGATCAATATGAGTCAAACTGACTCAAAAGATAAAGTCTGCTGCCAAAAATTTCAATTTTACAGTGATTTCATTTCGTTGTCTGATACCATTCACTCGTAGATCTCCATTTAAAGTTAAATTTAAGTTATCTCATAGTGACAATGTCATTCACGAGGTCAGCATCTGCAATATGCCAATTACGAGGCAAGGTGCCCGTCTCCCTGCACAACTGGTCAAAAGTTCGTGTTTTATTTTGTAAGGGGAGTCTCGGCATATGGAAGTAACTGGATCTCAAAAGTATGCCAAGATGCCTGAAGTGGACAAGATGTACTACGATGACTTGTTGAAGAGAAACTGAATCTGGTGGTGTCAGATGATGTAATATAACTTGGGCTGAATATTGAAATGAAGCACATTCATGTATTTATCATCGATGTTCCTGTTTCTGGAGCCCATGCTAGGAGGCAGAATTTCGAGCCAATTTTTGTCAGAGAAGAACTGGGAGATCTCGTTGGGGTCAGACAGAGCCCTTCACCATAGGACTTCCAAGAGGAGGCACCTATGACGGAGGCTCCATGTATTACATCGGAAGTCTTCACGAGGTAACGTGTCTGCTACAAGTACTAATTTTGTCAAATAATGTCACGTACAACCTGCTGAATCGTCTGAAGTTTGACCCTCTTTTTCTCAAGTTAGGAACATTCTCACGTAGAACCTTGTTGAACCGAGGTGACGATATGTGCCACTTTGAAAAAAAAAAAAATTTCTTTGGCGTAAAAACGGCTGTAACTGCTGGCCAATTTGTAATTGCTGGCCGCGATACCGAGCACCATCAGGCTCGACCACGCGAGCCGTCACCGCAAGGTAACGCAGGCGATTTTCTCAGCGACACGATATACCTTGTCTTTAAATTAAACGATTCTTAATAAAATTAACGATGGCGACACGTTCCTCCATAGAAATTTGTATTCCATAGAAACCCCTAGCTCCATAGAATCCCCTAACGTTTGTCGCCCTTGGCCGCGCAGCAGGAACATGGCAATTACAATGACATTATCAAAATTAGAAATTATTCCTTCTAATCTTGAAAATGTCGCTTTTCGTTTTCTGCACTCATTCCATTTCTTATTACTATTTCATGGAAATTTCCACTTTGTTTCGCAAATTAACGCACCTTCCTTCACGTGCAAAAAAAGTTGCAAAATTGTGAATGAAGCATAGAGTTCTTCGTTACATGAAAGAAAATGTGTGCACAAGCCCTTCATGTTATATACACAATAATTGGTTGTCCTGGTTTCCGTCAGGAAACGTTCCGTGTCTTAACGAAGAAGATATACCTAAATACAAGTTTATACATGGTAATGTTGATATGTGTTAATAGATGCAATACTATGTGCACAGAATGCATCAATCGACAATTGCAGTGAATAAATGACAGTGTCACCTGCGCAAATATTGAGAGGTGTCAATGTCAAGTGGGGGTGAAATGCCTGAACAGACAGATTGATCGAGTTGAGGAATTTCAAGATGGGATTAATGTTTGCTGCCGTCGGTGACTGCAGGCCCCCGTGAGAGCAGCTTCCGGTAGATGAGGGAAGAGATCTCCTCGAAGATGCTGAAGATGTCGACGAGGGAAACTCCGAGACAGAGGCCCAGCATTCCGCCGACGTTCGAGAGGAGATCCAGCAAAGGGGACCTTCTCCTGCTCCAGGAAGTGCGACACCTGTCATCGCATTCATGGCATTATATATATATATATATATATATATGTTTATATATTATTATATTTATTTATTATTATATTTATTTATTATTATATTTATTTATTATTATATTTATTTATTATTATATTTATTTATTATTATATTTATTNATATATATATATATATATATGTTTATATATTTATATATTTATTTATTATTATATTTATTTATTATTATATTTATTTATTATTATATTTATTTATTATTATATTTATTTATTATTATATTTATTTATTATTATATTTATTTATTATTATATTTATAATTTCTTTAACTCGGCAAGACATGCAGAGAGATATGGCTGTGACACGAACGCGATTCCAAGGGAACTGGACTTCCAGGGTGGCTGTCCCGTTTTGGGGCTCCGGCGCCCACTTTCTGCAGTCAGAACTCGGGTCCGTCGTCAGGAAATAGTGCGTCGCGTTGCACCTCTTCGGGCAGTCGCAACGCGCCAACAACGAGGCGGACAGACTTCCGGTTTTCCCCAATCCAACTTGCCCAGCTGGATCGTTTCGTCATCGGCGTCTTTGCATTCCGGTTTCGTCAGCCGGCCGTCATTTGGCAGGAAGGCGGGATCGAGACAGGGCAGGTCCGTCCTTTTCTGCAAATTCTCCCAGAAACAGTTCTCCCTGCACTGAAAATTCGATTCCATCTCGAAATGAATCTCGAAGTAAATCTGAAGAAAGAAAAATGAAAACGGAACGGGATGCTCAGCCTGGTGTAACTGTAGCCTTCCTCCATGGTGCAGGGGTCGTTCCATCGGCTCAGTCTCTGAGTGACTTCGGGACGGATGAGGACGCGGAGGCTGCATTCTCGCAGGAGGAACATCTCGTACTCGGTGGATTCGATTCGGTTGTATTCCTCCGTCGCGTCGTGGACGTATATTTCCATCTGGACGGGGCGATTCGTGAAGGACGAGGCTTTCCTGGGGTTTCCGTTGGTTTTTCGCTTGCATGAGAACGAGAGATTCTCTCCTGGTAGAACTCCGTGATCGCAGAAGCGTTGAATCTGAAAATGTTTCCCTGAGAGAATTTCCACCCGACCGCTGTTTCTTTCTTGAGGAACAGCGTGAAGCACTTATGATGACGCTTTCCGGCTTCGTGTTTGGTTGTGACGCGCCCCGAAAACGTTCGTTCGCTCCATCGCCCAACGCCTTTACAAATGGAATCAACTCATGCTGACGGATCGTGTCTCCATTCGGCTCCGAATGGATTTTTCTTTCGAATTAAAAGTCGACAGGAAACCCCAGAATGCTAACCGTCGACCGACGTGATGGTTTCGCCGTTGAGGATCGAAACGTTCCCGACTTTCCAAAACGACATATTCCCGGGAGCCTGCAAGACAAAGTCGGACAGGGAAATGGAGCCATTCCTGAATTTCTTGCCGATCGTGTAGTTTCCCGTCGGTCCCGAGTCCGAACTGACGGAAGATCGTATGGATGATTTCGGGCAGAAGGTAAATGCGGGAGTCTTGATCGTCGGGGAATTTTCCGTCGCGTACAATGTGATGCTCGGTATGGACTGGTAGTCCTCGATCAGGAGGATCACCTGCAAGTCAAGAAAGCGTTCTTTTTCGCGGATTCGAACTTGCTTACGAGAAAACCACAGCATAATATCGTTCCCAAGGTATTGGGATACATGCGCGTCATTTTTGCTCCCATTGCTTATAGGGACTGGAAAGTCGAAAATGTTACAGCAATAATTTTCCTCTAGTTAAGATGAAACCCTTATTCTGGCGTCATTTTAATTCTGAGATTGCCGTCGAGAAAATGACTCCAGGCACTATTCTCCTAATCCGAAGCAAGAAGCTTCACTAGATCAAAGAATTTTATTAGGTTCTCTGGTCAATATGAATTCGCTGCTTCAACGTTTCATTTAAAAGTGCCTGCTACACCCTTTCAAACGATACCAAGTTCGAGCTTGGCACTCATGCGATCACGAGAAATAATTGTTTGACGGCATCAACAGTGCATTTAAAGTTGCAACTGGGAATGTGGTTCAATGATGTGTGGCTCGATGCGGGACATTTTTGCTGGCTTCTAATTTTGAAAATTTATTGTTTTCCTAGGATTAACCATTGCGAAGCAATTTCTTTTCGTCGACAGTTGGAAATCGAGTAGCTCACTTCGTTAGTCACTGAAGTCGGAGAAAGTGTTCGAACCAGTGGAAATTTGGCACAACTGGCGCACGTAAGTATCGATATCTCGTCCAGCCGCGGACTGCCAATCTCGAATTCGGTGGATCGTCGAGAATTGCATGCCAATAAATATTAAAATAACAAATTGACGAGGTGGCAGTGCCGACTTTGGCCACTGAACTCGAGCAAACCGTTCGATCAAGTGAAGCTCATTGCTTCAGCTTTGGAGAGCAACGACTGGAGTCATTTTAGCAATTAAAATGACGCCGGAATGAAACTTTTATCGTGACGAGAGGGGGAAGTTACCGCGGTTTCACGATGCCAGTCGGTAAATACGTCTCATTAAAATGCGTGTATCTGGAGATCTGTGAAAAGGAAAAAAAATTGGCTGAAATTGGTCTCTTTAAATCGATTCCTCTACGTTTATGCCGAATTTCGTCAAAGCCCAAGATGAATGGAATAACCCTATAGCACAAGGCAGGGTCGGTCGTTCGGCACCCACTCGACATGTCATGATTTCCTCTTACAGGGCATTTTATGGCCGCTCTGTCCAGCTGATGAAGTTCAGTTTACAGTAATAATATATCGATCTCATGTCACTTGGCCGAAAATAAAAAAAAAGGTTTTTAAGAATAATGAGTCGGGGAGCTGCTCCACTCTGAGTACATGGACTGGCCTTATGAATATTTTGAAAGAATTGCTGGGATTCTGGATGATGGAAGATAGTTTCCATTGATTTCCATTCCTCACAAGTGGTAACGAGTGATTTCTTTGGCAATTTCAGCTTTCAAGGTCGATTCAATCGGCATACACCTATCAACGGGTCGCGTTGCTGGACCCACCTTCGCCGTGAGAAGGGGAGCGAGAGCGCACGCCGCAGTGGGCTTCCCATTGCCCCCCCCCCTCCATTCTGTAATGGATGGCTGGGAGAATCTTCAGGAAGTTCCTAACTTTCACCGAAAATGGATGATTCGTACCTGTCTGATGGCAAGGGCCGCGCATGCCGCGATCACGAATGCCTTGAGGATGTTTCGGGCAGCCTGCGTCTTCCTCCCTATCGTCGCTTCTGCTAGGTTGAATTGCCCTTTTCAGGATTGATTCCCCATTTTTCTTCCGGGAAGTGTTTGCTCGATGAAATCTTTACTTACCAATTTCACCTTGGGGTTTCTTGACAGGTGCATGCATTTTCTCGGTCGACCATGCCTGGATTGGACTGTTTTCCATATTGAGGAATGAACGCGACAATTCACGAGATGCTCCGACAGGAACCTGCCCAAAAAATGGGCTTATTTCCAAAAAATCTTTTATTTATTTTATGAACCTCTGACTTTTACACTATAAGACGGTGAGGTTGGGGGCTCGAACCCAGTTAGCAAGCTAGAACCCAATAGCGTTTCTAGAACTAGACCATTTCCGGATGGGAATCCGGAAATGGTCTTGTTCTAGAAACGCTATTGGATGGATGGCGGAATATCACGAATCGGTGAAAAAAATTCGAACCTTCACGGAATTTGTTCCCGAATGGCAATTGTTCACATCACATTTAAAAATTTACCTACTGCGTTTTTTCAATCTGATTAAACCTTTCGGGAAAGAAAAGGAACGAGAAAAGTCTTCGGAACGACAAAACGGCGAAAACGTTCAAAGACGTCTGCGAGGAATGCACTGTCCGACGAACTGTGAAGGAGGCTCCACCTCCGGGGGAAGAGAGCTGGCGCTCTCTCCATTCCTCGTCGAGCGACTGCGAGGATCGAATCCATGTCACGGCGCGATATCGCCGAATGTTCTCGTGTTTTCCTTCGTTTCATGGCAGAGCTGACATGTCACGGTATATCGTGTGTCTGCCTACCTGCAAGCAATGTTTAGTTTCATTAATGATTTCCTCTTCTTTGTTTCCGAGGGGAGCTCGATAAGTTTTCAGAATGATTACGTTGCGATGTGTAACGGTTTGATAATTTTATTGCGATTAAATGTATATGAATTTTTCACAAATTTGAGCATCGAGATGTAGTAAAGTTTATATCCCAATGGAATTAAAATTCATATCCAAATAAATATTTTTTGGAAGATTCCACATGCAATCCCGGATTTCGAGATGAGGAAACTGATGCTCTCTGTCACCCGCAATTTGGTTTCGTTCCATCCCTTGGTTGAGTTTGCTTTGCTTTGGTTCTGATGCAGAAATTCATTAGGTTATGAGATTGCAAAAAGAAAAGTGAAACCATGGTAGTTAAAGTACGAGAAACACGAAACCCTTTATTTTTCATTTTTTTCAGGTTCACTGCAGTAAAGTACAGCATGTGATGAGTCGCCTAAATATTCTTAAAATATTCCACTCCCTGTCCCGCAAAATACAACAATGACTTCCATATGGCACATCGATCCTTGGGATCGATCGATCGATTTACTGAAGTGCGAATGGAGAGATTATAGGGAAGAACTCGGCGATTGTCTTAAAAGAACATTCCTTAGTCTTTATCTACTCGGGATTCCGGGAATCGATTCACATGCAGCTTATGTCTAATGCATGAAAAAATATATTGCTACCTGATGATGGAATTGAGTTTGAGTTTACCACGCCAATTGGAAGAGTTGCGGCAGCGCAAAGCAAAAAAAAGGGAAACATTTGGGCGGTTAATGTCGTGGCTGCATATAATAAATTACACATTATTTTTAATACTTGAGCCGTTATCCGTCTGACGTCTTGTACCTTAAGTAATGTCATTTTCATGAAGTTAGTCTACACTTGCAGAGAGCAGACACACAAGTAACGACAACCTTATTGATTTTTTCTATATCCTGACCTTAATGGTAGAAGGTTGTAATATCGAATTGTCACGTGATCAGCTTAGACCTGCATCGTCAGGTCCACCGGTCACGAACAGGAAAGTTTCACCATTTAGAAACATTATTGATGGGGGAGGGGGAGTGGGGCAAACGCTGAATTAACGATTTGTGCGAGGCCGTCCAGGAGCGATAACGTCATGGCGATAGCGTCGAGGTGAGACAAAAGAGAATGACGCACGGGAGGATTAAGCAAATGGGCTTGATAAAGATGGTGATCTGAATAAATTATGTGATGGACTCCTTGAAGTGAAAGAGGGAGAAAACTACAAAGAGCCTTCAGGCGTTTAATTTCTATGAATATATCAGTGCTGATATGTTTCAAAATTGATTCCCAAGTGTGCGACTTTCTATTGCGGAGAAACTTCTTTCGGGCTATCGTTTTTCTTGTTTTCGCGAAAAGCATATATTTGGCCATGGGAGACAGAATTTGCCCCCTCAAGACTCATTATGGACGGGTGCCAACGTGTCTTGGAGAATGAATATAGTAAAAAAGAAGGAGTTATGGTATTGTGCTGCGGTCCTGTCATCTTGTATTTACCCGAATGCATCAGGTTTCGACAAGAGAATATTTATGGCCTCCGCTTCTGCAACAGGGGAAGCTTCGCCGATCGGCCTACCCTCGAACTAAAAAATTAAAAATTACATTTTTTTTTCAAGTGCGATTTCCAAGCAGCTGGAAACAGGATATATCAAAGAACCCCAAAGCGTGAATGCGAATTTGGACGTCTAGCCGCCTTCCCCGCAAAATTTGAACATTTGGATTCGTGAGAGAAAGGCTTTCCTCTTTACCGCAATGAGTGGCGATGAGTCTTCTAGACGTTCAAAATTTCTCACTCCTTCCCGTTGAATACACAAATGCGATCGATCGATCGATTTGCTGATGAGCGAGGCACGAATAGAGGCGTAATTGGAAGAAAATGTCAGAGATTCGGGATATTCATTTTGTCTTTTATCGCACAGGAAATAAAGAATCAATTTACCAGCAGCCTGTGTTTAATGAAAGATAATAAGAATTGTTACCTGAAAGGAAATTGAGTATAAGTTATCGTAGTTGAAGAGTTACGGCAGGAGAAAGCCAAAAATAGAAAACATTAGGACGGGTGAAGTCGTCACTGCATGGTATGAAATTTAAATTATTAAAAATCACTCGGCCGAAATCTGTCTGATGTTTTGCTCCTTCGGTAATGTTTCTTAGACGGCGTTGGTCTACGTATGCCGAGGGCAGACACGCCAACTTTAATGTGGTCTCCGTCTCGAGACGTCAACCGTGGAACAGATTGGACCGAAGAATGATAAAATGTCACGCTATCAGTTTAGAAGAGGATCGTCCGGTTCACCGGTCACAAACAGGAAAATCTTCCCGTGAAGAATTACTGTTGACTGGGGGGAGTTGGGGGGGGGGGGAGGCAAATGCTGAATTAATGATTTGTGCAAGAACTCGTCGAAGCGAAGAAATTATTTACCGAAAATCGCCGTCGGCGGTGCAATAAAAATTGTCGTAATTTCATAACTTCAGCTGGTATACAATAAATAGAGTCTTCAACTATTTTAGAGAATTGGTGAAGAATTAAACCGAAAATTCCAATCTGGTCGGGATTAGAACTTCAAAAATGCAAGATCCCAGTCTTTCGAGAGTAGAATTTTGCCTTTTCTTGCATTAGTGAAACCTGCGCGAGGCAATCCGAAGGCTTACCGGAAGTTCAACATATAATATTAATACTTGCAGCAAAAAAAAAGCATTCACGACCACAAGACATTGCGCTTCTTTTGTATGTTTGAACTTTTTTTTAATATCTTTGAATATAGGGCGATGAAGTTTTCTGCACCGATTCCTCAGCATCCATCCTAATTGGGACAAAACTGGATTTTTTTGATGATGAAAATCTTCACGAAAGCCCGTGTGATAGCTTTCGTGCAGGGTGAAAGAATTTTTCTCCCCGGAATAGGCTGGGGGGTGAAAGAACGAAGGAAGAGCGGAAAAAGGCGAGGGAGAAGCGCAAGAGTGAAGACATCTGATGTATTCCATGGAATTTATTATGGAAAATTCCTATAGGATTCCTATAAGATTCTCATAGGAATTCTGTATGATTCCTATAGGATCCTATAGGATCCCTTAAGAGTTTTATTTTTTCAAAAATAATTTAGAATCCTAAAGGAATTTCTCGTAAGAGATGATATATTCCGCTGTCCCTCGGCGAAAGCACGGCGAGAACCACGTGGAAACCACGTGGAAACCACGTGGGAGCATGCACACTAGCGCGATGAGAGGCGCTCCAGGAAGGCGTGGTGGGAATGAATGGTGGGATAGGTGTGGGGGGAATTCGACTCGATGCGACACGAACTCTATATCATTGGAATTTGAGCGTAAGAAATTAACCTCGGTGGCTCCTTATAAACTCCTGTGAAGGGCCCGCCGGCCTGAAATCTCTTAAGCGATCATTGAGTACGTATGGCTGCAGGTTGTGACGCTTTCCGCCGACCTGTCCAGATGTCAGGAGGCTTTGAGAGGTTCCATGCCCTTGATTGAGCCTTGATTGAGGTGATTGAGCATTGACTTCCGGCAACGTAGCAAATACCCATGCAAATGCATGCCCGCTCTTTTCCGTTTCTCTCATCGTCATGAATTGGAAACGGAAAATTTATTTCTTCTCTCCATGAAAGGACCACGTGAAAATCTTCAAAACTTCCTGGTCTGAATGCGATGGAAATGTCTAGTTGATTTTTTCTTCGTCCAGACAAACCGGATGTTCATCAAGCCAAGAATCCCGTCCAGGCATTGAAGGAAAATAATTCTTGAAAATCCCCTAATGGTAAATTCGAGGAAAGTTAGTGGGAAAGTGGAAGAGGAAAGTAGAAAATCAAGAAGTTAATAAAAATGAAAGACCCAAGGTCACGGCGAGCCCGACGACCCGCGATGCAGAAGGCGGCCCTGGCCGCTTCCATTCGTCTTAAGAAGGCGGCCTCCGCATGAAACCAGACGATGATCTACGACTTTCGACAAATATTTAGCTAATTCGTTAATCCATCCCTCAAATCCTCCGCATGATCCCCTCCATGCCATGGGTATGAAAACTGGGGGAGGAGGAGCCCTCACCACCGACCCCATGGTGTCGCCATCCGCCCAAGAAATTTAGTCCTACGGAGACGTAGACCTGGGGGAAACCGACCGCCGCCTCCATGCCTCCCCCCATCCCAACTGCCTCCGCCAGACGCTTCTGACGGGAGATCGCTATTTGCAAATCCCGGAGCATTCCAGACTATTCGTATTTGTTTGATTTTGGCACCCTTGTGCCAAATCAAACAAATACGAATAGTCTCGTTTCTCCGTTTTAGGCGATAAAGAAGTTAGTTAAAGATGTTAATTGCCAATTTCAGCAGGCTTTCATGCTGAAAGGCCGTTTTCATCATCATGAGCATTCAACCGACTTCTACCTGAAAACCACTTTTGGTTTAGAGGCTTTTTTTCAACAAAGAAGTGAAATAATCGACGCTTCAAGAAACGGCCCTTTCAGGAGAAAAAAAAAAAATCGAAGAAATCTAGGAGAAAAACTGAAATAATTTACCAGCTCGATTTTCCGCATGGTCTCAGCAGTTCACCGAGTGACTCACACTTGAGAACGTGACGAAAATTTCCTTTCTCTGCCCGGAAGAGAAATGAGATTAGATATGAGTGCATTCCCTCGCTGGCATGACGTCAGCTCCAGCGGCCAAACAGATCTCAGTGCAGTGGAGATCGGGAATGGTCCGCTTGTTCCTCTGCGGGGCTCCTCGCGCACCGAGCCGAGGCTGAGAAATAGGTAAACGTCCTTTCCTTGCCTATAAGCGTTCTTTTTTCGTGAGCGTGCCTCCTTTCCTCCCGCAGTCGAGGGGGGCTCGCTCGACGTCCTTGTCTCCGTGCGATTTCCCGGTCGGATGTCGGCCTTAAGTGGAGTGCAACACTCCCATTCGTTTCCTGATCCTTCATCGCTGCCGTACCGGAGTAATGCGATGAGAATCTCGGTGGGGATGTCGTGTGCCGCCAGACCCGAAAGGGAAAATATTCCAGACTAGAATTGGATTTGATTTTCTCGATGCAGTAGGATGCAAACTACCGGAGTTGCCTGTCTCGCTTGGTAATCGTGCAACTGGGATCGGTCACATGTCCAAATGTTTACTCCGCACGGATGCGACTTGACAAGGGAAGACGAAATGGCTCGTTGGAAACATTCCAAAGAATGCGACTCCCTCAACGTGTGTTCTCGTAACGGAACGATTTGAATCGCTTGGTGGCCTGAGTTCCATTCCGCGTATTAACGCATTATATGCTGTTAAGTAGATGTTGTTAAGTAGATGCTGTTAAGTAGATTCTTTGTGCAGGCAGTGGGATGCCATCGGTCATTCCCTTCTTAACTTCCAACTTCGTGTTGTAAAAATGCTTGCTTCTTTTGCGATAGTACACTCTTAGAAAAAGGGGGCTATTTTTCTCAAAAAAAGAGAGTAAAATAGCTAACTCCAGTTTCACCCCTCATTCACTCTGGGAAAGGAGCCTATTTACTCCATCACCAAGGAGTAGAATTGCTCTCCTCCTCCGTGAGTAAAAACGCTTTCCTTAGAAAGTGATAGGGATGTCATGCAAATACGAAAATTCTTGTATATACTGTGTGCCGTGTCGCTCTCATACAAACGTTGACCTATCTCTGACGGTACTGATTGCAGCACACGGCAGAGAGCAGACCACCTCTTATGGGTTCCGTGAAGGGTCTGGGATATCAGTCCTTCATTACCTCATTTAATGGAGGTATCTTTGAATGAAGTTCACGGACACTATATATTCTAGACCTCCTATCCAGATAAAACCATATGTGTTCCAAAAGGGTTCTCGATAGGAATATGAGCTTGTTTATGGTCTGGACTCTATGAATATGTCTTGAATATGTGGATAACAAATGATGAAATGTCCGTGTTCATTGATTCCTATAATGAGACTAGGCGAGACATACGGCAAGGTACTAAACAATCCTGCGAG